CACTCAAACTATTGCCCCTGTGCAGGACTTTGTCCAGAACCGCATCCACACCGGCTGGCTGGACGCCCGCATCGCCGCCAACGTCAAGGCGGAGCGGCCGCCGTGGCACCTCTGCGTCATCGGCAGCGCCGTGGTGGGCACCTTTTTGCCGCGCCGGTACCCTTTGGAAAGCGACCCCGATCTTCCAGCCTTTGGCCTCAGCTGGTCGCACCATATTGTTGCTGTACAGCGACCCAACGGACCGACCACCTGCAACGGACCGACCACCTGCAACCGCTAGACCCATTGCCATCAGCTTCCTTCCTTCACCAGCAACACCTCGCCCCCCCGTCTACCCCCCGGCGCTGCACACTCCCAGCACCCCTTCTATGACCTATCCCCTCCCCCTCTCCCCTCAAACACACCACCATCACCGCCACCGCCACCCCGCCCCAAAGGTGCGTGCGTATGAGTCCATCACCAGCAAGGCTGCGGAGTACCTGGGCTTCCTGTCCAAGGGCCAGCTGCCCCCCAGGGACGTGGGCCTCATTCACTTCTCGGACGACCTGGTGCTGGAGGGCGTTAAGTACAGCGTCACGGTGGCGCGCAGGTGGGCCGCGCGGGGGGGGGGGAAGTGTTGGGGCTTTGGGTGCTGGCAGGGTCGGTATTGTTATATCAGGTCGTCGAGGGAACGGCACCGCCAGCAGGACTTAGGGCAAGGTGTTTGTCGGTGTGGTCCCAGTGATGGGGTGATACTGAGGGCCAGGCAGACCGCGACAATCTGTGTCGGGGTCAACAGGTAGGTGGCGGCGATGGCTTTGCTTCACACTCACGCTGCGGCTGTCTATGTCGCGATCTCATGCGCCGACTCTCCTTCACTTGACTGTGACTCAACCCCAGGGGCCCGACCAACTTCAGCGTGGTGTGCGGCGGCGTCACCACCGACGTCGTCGCGCGCAAGCTGGGGGACGGGGGGTACCTGCTGCAGGTGGGGCCGACGTGTGACCATGGAGGTGGCCGATACTTTGGCCCTTCTCATGCTTACAGCCTTCGCAATGATGGAGATGTTTGAAGTGTGCGACCAAGGCGGGCCTGCGCACGTAGTGAGGGCCTTCAAGTCGCAGCAAGGCGCCACCTGCTGTTGCACTGTTTGCAGACCTGCATCTCCCCCACCCCAAACTCCCCAACCCCTCCCCTTGTCCCCGCCCGCCCTGCGCAGGTTGACGGGGAGGGCCACGTGATGCACACCGAGGAGGAGGCCCTGGGCACGCGGCTGGTGATGGACACGCTGTCCTGCCTCATAGAAAAGGAGCAGGACCCATCAAAGCTCATAGCCATGTCGCCCGGTGAGGAAGGGCGCGGCAGGGCGGTGCGTGGCGCCCTCCTGCCCAGCAGGGAGCTTTGAATCCGCTGGCTGCCGCCTGCGGGGCGGCGAACCTCATATTTGCGGCTCTGTCCAGCTCCCAGCGATGCGAAGGCAGCTCCTACAACCCAAACTCTGCCCTAATTGCAATCCATGCTTCTTGGTAGGTAGGTAGTAACATTGGTTCCCTTACATGAGAACATGCGTTTCTGATATCGACTGCGTATCAACCCCTCCCTCCTTAACTCCCCCCCCCCCCCCACCAGGCAAGCTGGTGCGCCAGCTGGTCAGGGACGGGGACCACGTGGAGAAGGGCGCGGCATACGCAGAGGTGCGCGGTCAGGAAGACGCCCTGGGGAGCGGGGTGGGGCAACGACCATACAGCAGGCACTGAAAGCGGGTTGCGGGGCGGCCGCACCTTTGAGAAGCCAACTCCATGGCGCATCACGCCCCTGCTGCCTCAGGCCTCGACGGCGACTCTGCCCCTTCCCATCCTCAGTTGTATCTCCACCTTGTGATCCCTGAATGCACCACCCAACCACACTGCACCCCATCTCACCCTCTCGCACCAACGCGACCCACCTCGATCCAAATCAACCCACCCAAACCCCTCTCATCCCATCCCTTCTCTGGCCGCTCACCCGCTCCCCGACCCCGTCCTCACTCTACTTCTCACTCTCTTGCACCCCGACCCCCCCTCCACTTCCCCTCATCCTCCAGGTTGAGGTGATGAAGATGATGATGCCGCTGCTGTCCCCCGCGGCCGGCGCCATCACCTTCAGCGCGTCAGAGGGCCAGCCCCTGCTGGCGGGGGAGCTCATCGCAACACTGGACCTGGTGGGTGTGAGCCCGGCTGCAGCCCAGCCTGGCTGTCGCAGGGGCAGCTTTGGCCGTCAAGGGTGATGGGACTGTCAGCGGGTAGACCAGTTGCAGTGACCCGGGCTTGTTGCTAGTTATAGATATAGGCTGCTATGTCATGGGGCGCTTGTGCAAGCCTGTCAATGTACCTGGATCCATGCAGATGTCCTTGCACGCTCTCAAACATGCACACGTACACACACACACATGCGCACACACACACACGTAGGACGACCCCAACGCCGTGACGCGTGCGGTTGACTTTGCGGGCAGCTTCCCGGAGCTGGGTCCCCCCCAGGTGTACAGTGACCGCGTGGACCACCGCTTCAACCAGGCCCTGCACGCAGCAAAGATGATCATGGCCGGTAGGGGGGGGGGGCGCTGGGGTCCGGCGTGGGCGCCGCATGTTTCGGGTCATGAATCGCCCACGGACAACCGACATGGCCTTTACCTGGGACTACTGTGGGAGTGGCTGGGCGGTTTTGGGGCAAGCTGCCAAGCTGAACGCCTACCTGTCTTGTGGTGAACCTGATATTGGTTGGCAGCCGCCGGCGAAGCGTGTGCCCCTGCCATCCTCTCCCTGCAACATGTACCCTCTCACAGGCTACGAGCACCCCGGTGTCGAGACCCTTGACGAGCTGGTGGCGTGCCTGGACCACCCCGCACTGCCCCTGCTGCAGTGGAGCGACGAGTACTCCTTCGTGGAGGGCAGGTGGGGCCCGGCGCGGCGTACCGCTGCCGCCGCGCACCAGGCAACCACGCACGCATGCCCGAGCGCGCCTGCAGAGCCATGACATGCGCCCTTTGGGCGTGTCGTTTTTTTATTTGACAGGAGTGGATGACAGCAGCACCCCTTTGTTGCTCCCCGTCCAGGCTGCCCCCTGCCATCACTGAGAAGCTGGATGACGTCATTGCACAGCACGAGGTGGGCCGGGTGTCCTTCACACACAGCAAGCAGGGGTAGCTTGCGATTTGGCTAGGCGTGTGAGGCACCGCCCAAGCTCATGCAACTGACAGCTGCGTGTTGGACGCTTGTCCGCCCCCTTCGCCCGCATAGTGCTTGCTCAGCACCCTGCATCCTTGCCCGCACTGCTGTGATTCCGCCGCCCCTCATGCCCCCAGGTTGAGCTGTCCAGTGGCCTGGAGCTGGACAAGCCCCCGGCAGAGTTCCCCGGCAGGCAGCTCATGAGGGTGCTGAGAGAGGCCGTAGGGGTGAGGGCCCTGAACGGCACCTTGCATGCGCACTGGGGCCTGCATGCGTTACGCACTGCACCGCCGACGGTCGGGCACTCAGCGGACAACCATACGCGGTTTGTTTGTGATATTGCTTATTCAACCCCACATGGTGAAGATCCCACCCTTTGCCCCCTCCCCCCCCCCCCCCCCCACCCCGCCCCACACCCCTGCAAGGCCGTCCCTGTGTCGGACCGCGCCATGCTCCAGACGCTGCTGGAGCCCCTCATGCGCGTGGCCAAGGCTCACAGCCGCGGCAAGGAGGAGTACGCGCACGCAGTGGTGGGCAGGGCCAGGATTGCTGAGAGGGGGCCTGGCGCGCCCATCCACTGCCCGACCGTCGGCATAGCTTTTGGCTTGAGCGGTGTGCCCGTTACAATTGCTGCAAGCCCAGGGCGCAACCGCATGCTTCTGCACTCACGGCATGAGGGGCAGCCAAGGTCCACCTGAAGAATTTGATCCGCATAACGCAGCATACAGCCAGCTCCAACACGCGGCGCACCCCAACCCCAGAAGTCTTTCACCCAACGCCTTGGCTGAATTTGTGCCTGCTTTGCTTTCCCGGCGTCGCAGTCCCCGCTTTTCACAATTCACCTTTCCTAGCACTTCAAACTCCATGCTGTGAATCTCCTCGCACGGCACATGCCAAACCGTTCAACCGCACTCACAACCACGGCTCTCAACTCCTGCCTGTGCCCACCCTCCCATCAGGTGGGTGACCTCCTGGAGCAGTTTGCCAGCGTTGAGGAGAAGTTCCAGCAGGCCGGGGCCACGGAGCAGGAGATGATCGACGCGCTGCGCAAGAGCTACGCCAACAACCACCAGGTCGGGGGGACGGCGAGGAGAGGGGCTGGTGCCGTGCATGTGCACGTGTGCTTGTGGGTGTTTGAGTGGGGACGAGAGTGATTGTGAATTTGTCTGAATGTCGACGTTCACATTTGTGTGTGCGTGTGTTTGCGTATGTAGACCCAAGTAGACATGTATTGGGCCGGGTGTCAGGGCTGGGCAGGGAGCCCAAGACAGTTGCAAGGTGATCATTTTGAGTGCCTGCAGCAGCACATGGGATCCGCCTGCACCTTGCCAACACCCCCCCCCCCCTGGAGCTCAGATCCACAACCCTACAGCGAAACCGTCTCGTTTACTGTACCACCCTGCCACCCGTCCACCCGTGTACACCCCCCCCCCCCCAGGCCGTCCTGGATATGGTGGTGTCCCACCAGGGCCTGCCCCTCAAGC